AAGCTGATAATTATTTAAAGTTTTGTTCTTTGAACGTTGGTAGAATATCCTTTATCGCAAATTTTCAAACCTTTTTTAAAAGTTAGCCATTTACAAAAGGTACAGGCTGAAAAATGGAGGTAGCCACCGGTCCGCCGCACGAACTGCAACCTGGTTTTACAAATGGCCGGTTACTTGCACACGGTGGTTTAACCGTCGGTAGGGCTATAATCGGTGATCGACATCGTCTAGCTTCTTCCAGTGGTCCCGTGCAGGCGCCCGCCCTGCTGCACTGCCTTACTCTTACTTGCATTCCATTCGGATTACATTCGCTCCAAGTAGACCACGGTGAAAGTGCTGAAATGCACGTAATATGTACAGTATATAAGCACACTTGTAACATGTTCGTGACTAAAAGGTTAATCGCATTTCCATGTAATAAGACTGAACAACTAATACAGATTAAGATCACTAATTGGGTTTACTAAGATATGAATTCCCATGGCTGCCGTGCTAATCATAAGAATCCATAAAACTCCCAAAGTGTCACAAGCAAATGTGGCAAAATTTTCGCTTTTAAAACGAATTGTACCATAAAAGCAGTGTTTCTGGGACATTGGGACCATCGTCGTTATTCACTACGGTGATTCTAGTGAAAATTCATTGTTATAGTCTCTACAGTTCAACAGATAATTATGTTTATAGATGAATATTTGTCGCCGGTTAAAACTATGATTACATGATAGCCATAAGGCTGCAGACCTTTCATTTGGTGCATACGACAACAGCCACTTAACAAACAGCATTACTGTTAGTACCTGAGCTCAGAGTGAAATGAAACATGCGAACGGGAAGTTAGAGAGCATGCATTACCGACTCGTGAGAAAAGTGCTTATATTTAATTTGACTAGATTAAATAAAGCAAGATTAGGCTGAAAAACTATCAAATAATGAAGAGACCCAAAACAGTAACGCGTGCGCAACAAAAAATGAATGAAATGCGAGAACTGTTTTGGTCGAAAGTGTGTGAAAAGGCTGCAGTGCAGTCACTGGGGAATGTAGCACATGAAACCAAAGCGAACACGGAGATTTTTAATGTAGGCATGCAAATACTTTATCACCTGTCCGAGAGAGAAGAGATAGCATTTAATTTGTGCGTTGGTGGTCATATTTAAAAAATATCAAAAAGCTGTTTACTTCTACACAACGCAAAATTGGTCGCTCCGATGACTGACCAGTACCAGTGCTTCTGCCCGTATCTCGGGTCTCCTTCAAGTGAGGTTAGTGATGAAATTTTGTGATGTGGTTGGGCGTTCGCAGCAGTCGATAGTTCCAGAGCCATGCGGCAAGCTTTTGGTCCGTGCTGTTGGTTAAATAGTTTTTGGGTGACAGGGGCAACAGGCTCATTCAGTCCGGGCATAGTTCGAATCCTTTGGCACGGATTAATGCTTCCTTTATCCCCTTTCGTAGCCAATGTCTTTTTTTGAAGATGCCGCTAAACTAACACCATTAGCCTGAGCGTCCTTGCTTGTCCACATGTTGCACAGTCCCTGTTGCGAAAATGTCAAACGTCAAAACTATTTAACCCGCAGCCTGTACTGTAACAGCTTTCCATATGACTTTGAAATTATCGACTGCTGCAGATGACCAACCGCATTCACGAAACTTCACCACCAACCTACCTTGGAGAAGGCCCATAAGACATGGGCGGAAACATCGGTACTGGTCAGTCACTAGACTAAACACCATCTTTTCTGTTGTGCATCATCAAACCGTGTTTTACGCTGTTTTTCAGATTGCCATAGAAATTAACCTATACTTCCCTGAGAGCACGATGTCAATATGAACCGTAATGCAACGGGTAGTTGTTTTTCCTTCAGCAAAGTGCACTTTGAACGAACTAACACTAAATTTTTGACATTAATTGCTAATCCCAATACTTTGGTGTGGATATTGTCCTTGGGCCGAAAAGGATAAGAGTAGAACGGTGTTCTCACATAATGCTGCAAGAATGAACTTGGCTTTCTACTATGCTCTCTGACACGTGCTTTTTGGCTGCAGCTTCCTATGACTAGTCTGACAACTACTAAATATCAGTATAACATATAATCAGTAAGTCAAATATAATCTAGAAGTGATTTTAAAGGGATGACCCTATTTTTAAGGTCGGTACTCAATAAAGAGCATATTTATAGTTGATTTTCCATCTATAACGATATGCCTTTATGCGCAGTTATTTTGTTAAAACGGGTGATGGCAAATGCCTGAATTGAACTTCACCAAATCAGATGATAGTAATCTCTTGCATGGAATCATTATATAAATTGTGGTAATGGCGTAGAGCGTTGCTATAATGTATAACCTCTTCACACTCAGTTTTGTTCCCGCATTATTTTTACTACTAATGCTTAAAACAGCAAATGAAAATTGCAGCAATCATCCCCTCCAGTGATCTTAAAAATTTGTTGATGATGAAAGCAAAAAGTGAAAGAATTATGATATGCGGCTTACTTTCGAGACAAAGGTTAACGAACAGGTCGACATAACCCTCAGCCGGACTCACTGGCAGTCTCAGTTCAGTTACCCTGGCTGCTGCTTCGGCATTCAGGATACACTGTCTCTCTCGGTAGTAGTAAACGACGGCGCCGCATCTGTATGTACTCATCGGCGGCATCATTTCTGAGCACTTTGCTATGCACTGTTCTACTGTCGGCACCACGGACACACTGAGAGCAAATCCAGTGATCTTTGTTTGCGGGAAACGTTCGAAGCTCACAGCACACTGAGGAACTGAAACAATTACATGTCTTTATCTTTGCGTACAAACTTTGCATTACCGGCCAAGCAAACTTTCTGAAAAATTTCTGTCCCTTCCATCACTATTGGCACAGTATTCGGTGTTAGTTGCATCGTTTTTAAAACACACGTCATTCTTGCGCTGCTGTACTCAAAAAATAGGCATTCGTGAGAAAATCGACAGATTTCCAAACACTGCGTAAAAGTTAGACCTGAAGAAAAACAGATTAATAGTTCCCTCGGCAAGTCTTTGAAAATGTGACATAAAAGTTAAGTTGTGAAGCGCAGTAACACGATTAACAGTAAAATAGCTATTATTTTGCATATGCATTACTGGATATGTGGCCATCGACAAAATTAATTCAGTTTCATATTTGTTTCTGGTTTTTAGGTGCGTATTTTTTCTGTGAATTCTTTCGTAATTTTTTTTTCACTTGCACATATCACGTCTGGCCAAAATATGAGCCACATTTTATAGGTCTTGGTCATCTTTCCTCAGAATGATTGTAAAAGCCGATGATAGTGCAGTGGATAAGTTCCATACCCAAATTGGTAAACTACGACAAATCTACCGAATAACTTCAATAGCTGCAATTAAAGTACATATCAACTTGGATGGGAAGGTTGTCATCATCGTCGATAGGAACCATGCAAACCTGCAGGTTG